CCCCAAAACCCCAAAACCCCAAAACCCCAAAATAATTACTCATAATTGAATAATTATTGAAGAAATTAGCCAAGAAAAGACTAAGATTGAAGATTCAGAGCACAAAGATTAAGACCAAGGTATTTGAGTTTTGTTCAAGAGTTTAGGAGAGGAGGTCGAAAAGAAGCTATGCTTATATTAGAATGAAAGAGCGGAGTTACACCCAGATAATTATGAAGAAATCCAGTTGAGCTCCCAATTTATATGGGATGCATTTGCTGAAAATAAGCTAATTCATCCTCAGAGATAATAAAGTTGAGAAATATTTCAACAATATTTTTTAGCATTGCTATCAATTAAACACTGGATGAGATTCAAGTCTTTAATCTTCTTCAAACTTTCAGTCGGTCATATCTATTATCTCACCAACAACGTAACTGGAGGAAGGTATCCTTACTATTTCAATGTCTTCTTCCAATACTAAATGAAGATGGGTTAAAGTATCAAATTTATCTTTGGATATGAACTAGCTACACTTTTATCTATGAAAGCATTTTAGGTTCAATGATACTTTATAGCTCCTGAAATCTAACAGAGTTTATTTTTCATGCTTCAGTCAAATTGATGTTGAAGATCTTGCTCAAGTTCATACAACTTCTCTAGCTCAGAGAATTTTATCAGCTGGGGGCTAAAAGATGGTGAAACATCCAAAATGTTCAGTGAAGAAAGTACTGAGAACAAGCATACCCCAGAATGAGCAAGACTTGCTGCTGGAAGTTCTCTCCAAACAATGAAAGATGTGGTGACATCTCCATTTACTTCCAAGGCTGCATCCTCTTTGATGAGACCTCCTTGTCATCATGGTACAGAAGGATATTCAAACGGGTATTGATTTTTCAACAATGCAGCTATTGCTGCTCATTTTGTAATCAAGAGTTACAATCTTAAACGTTTCTTGATACTTGACTGGGATGTAAGTCATTGAGATGAAACTCAAGAAATATTTTATGAATCATCAAAAGTATTCTTTATATCTGTTCACAGATGGGAAATGGAAAATATTTCCTTTATAAGAACTGCTCAGGCTACACCTATTTGGGCAGTAAGCAAGGAGAAGTGTTCAACCTCAATGTACCATGAAATACCACTGAGGAGAAAGACGATCTCAGTGAAATAGAGGCTAAATAATACCAATTTCTTTTTGAGAACCTCTTATTTTACATAATGGCAGAGTTCGATCCAGAGCTAATCATTGTCAGTGCAGGATTTGACTCAGCTAAAGGATATCCTCTTGGTCTCCAATAAGTGGATCATTAATTTTATTCTTGGCTTTGAGTAAATTTACAAAAGGTATTCCCCAAAAATAGTAATGGTCTTAGAAGGAGGATACTGAATGAATACTTTAGCCAATTGATATGTTCTCAATGCTAAAGCTTTGACAAGGTATGCATAAGAATTTATCGGAGAAGAAGTAACTCAAGAGGATCTTATCCCGGAGCCATTTCAATCTATGATCGACACTGCAAAAGCTCACTCAAAGTATTGGAAATCAGCCCAACACTTCATTGCTAAATATGCAACTGAGGATGAATAAAATTATCCAGTTATATTCAATATTTTTGGATTGAGAAGGGGTTTTGGGGTTTTGGGGTTTTGGGG